ATTTAAAGTTGTTTTAAACATTTTTTTTAAATTAATAATAAGAATTACCATTTTATTTAAAATCGGATTTTTATATTTTCCATATTAAGTACCTTTGAATATTAATAATCCTATATAAAAATAAAAATTTTAAAAATTCACCAAAATTATACAACAACAACAGTATGCGCAACGTACAATAATAGTAGGTTACTTAATGACTCGTTGAAAAAACGTGCGCATGCTTAGCTTCAGCTAAGGCAACGCGTTCCAAGCATTTCCTAAAGCGTCATCACGCCAAATAGCGTAGTTTGACTTGCTTTTACGCCTGATCGGCTGGCTATACCTACAATTAGAAATTTTGATTTAATTTAAAAATGTATATTTACCTACGCATACGCACACAAATACAGACGTGAACACTCGCAATGTGTGTGTGGCGCGCGTGCGCGCTGACTGGACCAACTAATAATAAGGCACAAAAAATTGGCGTACGCGTTTGGGCACGACGTGTCGTTTTCAACCGCTGACCGCTGACTTCCAACTTTTTTTTTTTGGAATTTTTTTTTTGTTATCGGTGAGTGTGCTTTTGTACGCCTAGTGGTAAATGTCGTAACCGTAAATATATTTATAGAAATGTGGTTGTTTTCTTCTTATTACGCATACGGCAAACTATTTCAATATAAACATACATACACACATACATACATATGTATATTGTAGGTACAAATATTCTACCTGTGCTGCTGCTGAAAGACATGATGTAGCGTTTTGGACCAGCAGCAGCGCTGTTGTTCCGCTGTGGCTCATCGACTTCTACACAACTCTTACTGTTGTCAATGTTATTGTTGTTTTTAATTGGTTTTTCTTGTTCTTCATTATCGTTCAACTGAGACACTATATGTTAATGCGCACATACACACACATGTATATACATTTGTATATTGCTGCCAAGCTAACCATTTCCCCTTAAGCCATTTGCTTATGTTGTTATTGTTATTCTCCATTATATATTGACTATCTTTGCGTTAATAATGATGTGAAAAATAATTATATCAAACGTTCGATAACCTTTCTGGTTTTTTAATATGCAAAAAGAAGCCAGTAAATTGTTTTTCTGACCAATTCTTGTTTTTGTTTTTTTTTCTGTTGAATTTTTCGTGTTTTTGTTTTTGCTTCATATTTGACTATTCTACAGTCAGCTAAGTTCACTAGCTTCTTGTTAGACTGTCGTTTGACTACTTGACTACTTGTTTTGTATTGTATTGTGTTTCGCGATTGTTTGATTTACAACAACAATAACATTTGCTTGTTTTTAATTTCTGTATAATCGACAAAATTTAGAGTTCAACGTCATCGCCAAAACCAAAACGCAAGCAAATTAGTTTACTTTTATTAGAAAAGCTAACATGTGTATGTACATACATACATATGGATGTGTGTAGTTATATAAGTGTGTAAGGAATACAATTGAACTACCAGGCATAGTCTCGAATTTCCACTGTAAAAAATAGTAGACATAACAAATTACAAAAAACACAGACTTCAGTGTAAAAAGCGTTTATTAAACGCATATAATCGTAAGTAATGGGTGATCTATTTCGAGGTTCCATACTTTTTTAAAGTAATACACAAAAAAACTTCATATTTAATGGAGAATATTTATTAGCATTCGAAAGAACATGCTGTGGCATTTATTTTTTGAAGATCTCTTTGAGATGTTAGCCGCGGCTACTTCTCTGATGTCCAATTTTCGATGGCTCTTTCGAGCATTTCGATTGTTAACGGACGAATGACTCGCGTAAGGTTTTGTTGCAAGGCCTGAATCGAAGCGGAATTGTCCGCATAGATTTTAGACTTTACGTATCTCCACAGGAAAATGTCTTACGGTGTGATATCACACGACTTACAGGCCCAAAACGTGAAATTATCTGCTCACCGCATTGTTCTATCAATAAATACACTGATTGATGCGAAGTGTAGAAAGTGGCGCCGTCTTGTTGAAACTATATGGCGCCGAGATCACGAGCTTCAATTTCAGCGATCAAGTAGTCGGTTATCATGGCGCGGTAACGGTCGCCATTGACGGTTATGTTCTCACCGGTATCATTTTTGAAGAAACATGGACCGATGATTCTACTGGCCCCCAAATCGCTATTTTTTTCAGGTTGCTTTTCGTCCCAAATGTGGCAATTTTACTTGTTTACATACCCATTGAGCCTAAAATGTGCCTCATCGCTGAACAAAATTTGGTTCAAAAACATCGGAGCTTCTTAGAACTTTTCAAGAGCCCATAGAGCGGAGCGATGTCGCTTGGATGTTCGAGCGCCTTCAGTTCCCTAACAAACCGTATATTGTATGCTTTCAATATAAGATCGATCTGAATCGATTCTCCACGGTCTTCGTGTACACTCTCAGCTCACAATGCTATATTTTTTTCTCGGCTTGCTGGACGTGGTCGGTCGAATATTATCCAATAATGAATGCTGAGTCTAAAGATGGGTGATGGTTTTGCGAATAGTACGCTCAGTAGGCCGATTATGTTGATCATAAGTTGAGCGAAGCGTTCGAAACGTTCTCTATAGAACGTGAATTTTCGTAATACAGTTGCACGATTTGTAAACGGTGTTCAGGCGTAAGACTCACGTGTGATTTGTCACAAAAAGAATTTGAAAAATACTAAATACTACTTGGATCACCCGTTATTTACAGCTACATATCTATATACATATATGCAATAAATTTTTATTATAAGTTTTTGATCTGAATTACAGTAAATATTAGTTGAAATAATTGGTTTATAATTAATCAATTAGACTTGATTAGTGTGAACTTTTAGCTTTCCTTTCTATGTTGACTAACATACTCTCAGCCATACATATAGTATCTAYATACTTAAGTAGATATGTATGTGTATGTAACTATTTCCATAGCACGAGCGAGCAGTTGAYAGACATATAAACAAAATAGTAGTATTGTTTCTTCTTCTTCTTCTCGTTTTTGAGTTTTTTAACCAAAAAAAAACACCAACCATAGTTGAGCAAAGTCGGAAAACTGAGTGAAACCCAGGTTTCGCTAGAATTTTGTTAAATAGGAAAGACTCTCTCCAAAATACTCATAAATATTCATAAGACCCTCAAATCGACAATGCGCTTTGAAACACACACTTTTGTTGAGTCGGTTAATGTGAATTCTGGCTATTTGACCCTTTTCTCATTTATGTCAATAATTTGTGATATTAACGAAATTGTTAGTTGTTTTCATTTAAAAACTTCATTCTCACGAGAAATTTTGATTTCCTAGACTCTTACTTAATTTGTTTTAATTTATAATCTGCTATATTTTCTCATAGATCACTGATCGTTGTGGCTCATAGATCGGTAATCGCTACCGTCACCTAAACTTTCCTATAGGGTTYGATCTTAAACCTTTTCAATGGCATTGAAATATTGGGTAGTCGAAAAAGTCTTTTCGTATTTTGTCAATAGATGTCATTGCAGTTGTATATTATATCTCCAGTCCTACCAATCACCAATTTAATAGATCTTTTCAAATCAGATACTGAGCATTCTCAAATCTTTCCACATTCGATCCCGGAGTAATCTACGCCAAGTTCGMTGAGTTATTTGTTATTGGCACCACGATCTCTATTTCATCCACCTACGTTTTCCGCGCGTAATTAAGTATTCCGTTGTATAGATATATCCCACTGTGCAAAAAAACATAAACTCCACCCATATGGTGATGTAACTAATTAATTAATTTCAAAGATCGTATTTATAGAATCTAAATATTCGCAGTAAACAAGTCATCTCAGCTTTTGCTAATGTTCTCTGCGACTCGAGAAATATCCACAGTGGGCGTAGGATTAGGCAGAATACAATGAAAGCATGTGGAAGATTTTAGAATGGACTTAAAAAAAAAATCCAAGTCAAAAGAAGCTTTTTAGATGCGAAGTGATTGATGCGCGGAAGAATCTGATATTCATATACACACACTATCATATTTAAGGCATATATGCGGTGGCTTAATCCATTTTTGGGCAAATACCAAAGTTGGCAGCATTCTTTTTCATAATTTCTTTTATTTTCGTAACTGTTTTTGAGCTTGGAAGTGTCTTAGTCCCCAAAAGCGGAGAAATCTAACAAATAATCTACGCAGCTGCAGACAAATTTCCGAAACTCACATAATAATTGTGCACACAATCAAACACAACAAATAATCATTATACCTTATTTAAGTGTCTGAGCAGGCAAAAGAGGGCATGGTTTGTCTGTCTCTGGCGTTCTAATGCTTTTACCCGTCTTTAAGCACCACACACACACAATCATACAAAGCCGAAAGATCAGAATCACCGTCAGCAAACACATCAAATCAAATCAAATGAAATCACATTAGAGTCACAGCGCGCATAACCAGTCGGTCAACTCGGGCACCTGAGTCGCTTCGCACACACTCACTTTTGCGTGCGCCGCTCTGCCGTTCTCTCCCTTTCGCTCTATCGCTTTCTGGCGCTGTACAAACGATCGCCGCCGCCGCCGCGACTTGGCGCGCAACTCGAGCACGTTCACATATGGTTATTTATGCTTGTAGATATTTACACGTAGATCAGCACAACAAAAAAATAAAAAATAAAATAAAAAAACAATGTGGATATATAACACGAAAAAACAATGAAATTAAACAACGCAAGCTCGCTAGCTGACGATTAACGAAATCCGAAATTCGAGGCGGTAGAATCTAAGGAAGCATTTTTCGTGGTACCCGGAATTTGGATTTGGTTTTGTTTTCTTTTTGGGTTTTATTTTTCTATTGTTGTTGTTTTTTTATTGTCTACATGTTATTATTTATACAAGGTGTTTTGTCTTCATCTAGTATCTTACTGTCTTACCACTATGCGCTCGAATTCTGTATTGTCGTTATTTGTATTTTCACATTTTTCCATAACTTCTTTTTGATAATTTTTCCGCGCGCTTGTTATACCATATATACGTATGTATATAAATGATCGGCATAATGAAGTCCATTTTTCTATCTTCAACGAGTCTCTCAGATTTTGAGTTATCGTTCTGAAATTTTGTGCACGTTCTTTTCTCACCAAGAAACTGCTTATTTGTCGGAATCGTCGAAATCCGACCACTATAGCATATAGCTGCTATACAAACTGAACGATCGAAATCGAGTTTTATATCAAAACTTTCTTCTTGTACAAGATATCTTCACGAAATTTGGCATAGATTATTAGCCAAAACAACGCCTCCATCTCCGATGAAATGGTTTAGATCGGATCACTATAGCATATAGCTGCTATACAAACTGACCGATCGAAATCAAGTGCTTGTATGGAAAACTTTTTTATGGTACAAGGTACAAGGTATCTTTACGAAATTTGGCATAAATTATTAGCCAAGACAACGCTATAATTTCTAAAGAAATGGTTCAGATCGGACCACTATAGCATATAACTGCCATACAAACTCACTGATCAAAATGAAGATACAATTATTTTTATACCCATTTACTTTGTGAAAAATGTACTTGTGAAGGTTATTATAGTTTCGGTGCACCCGCAACTTACTTTTTTTGCTTGCCCCTTGTTATTTTTCTGTGCGCTTGTTTCTTGTATCTCTGGCGCGCTTCTCTTGCCCATATTTGTGTTGTACTACGACTCCGCAATAGTTTGTTTGAGACGTGCTTGTGTACATATGTATTCTTATGTTTTCTGAATTTTTAGCAATTTTTTCCGTTGTTGTATTTCTACTTTTTTTTTGTATGGATTTCAGTACGCTTCTGATTATTAAGCAGGTCGTTGACTTGGTTTTGAATTTTTATGCTTATTAAATGAATATTTGATATGTTAAGAAGGTGAAGATATTTAAATACCTTTTAATCTATACATAAC